TATTATTATTGGTCATCAAATGCCTCACAGAACACAGAAAACAGTACTATTAAAAGTTTGTACAAAATGTTAAACAATCCTGTGCAATATTCTATATCATTATCAATCATCACCAACCAATCACAAATCACACAAGAGTTCACGATTTATTCCCCCTCATACAAAAACACAGGAGGAAACAGACGAGAGTATGTAGACATTAGTAGACTAGCAATTGTATATGATGAAGAAAATTAAAAAAATAATGATAATAATAAATGATAAACAGAAGCATTAATAAAATTTATCCAGTCAAATTATCGTTTGGCTCACCATATCTTGCGTGAACTCAATAACATGTACTTTTTTAGAACTTAGTTGTTTATTCAAGAATTCGTGCTTTTTCACATAATTTTTTAATCAGGATATCTGCATAAGGTCATATTTTAGCCGGCGAGTAGTTCTTTAATTCATCTATTTTACCAGCAGCGACACATTTTCGCAACAAATTTTCATACCTTTACCCAGATATTTGTCGTTTTTGATTTTGGGGTGATTGAAATGAACTCTATTTTATTTACCATACTTCTCGGCGCGGAACCAATATTTGCCTTCGATTTTGACATTTTATGATCGAAACATATCATTAAAAATTGGTGGGCTGATTTGTTATTTGTCACACCGCATTTTATTAATGTTAAATTGAGCGACTTTTATAGATGCTTTTTAGATCGTAAATGCAAATGGCGACGTTTTGAAATGACAATGTACTTAATTATGTGCTAAAAAAATCATTTATATACAAACATTGAAGCATTGTTATATACTTTTGCGTAGAATAAAGTCATTAGTTGTTGTATAGTTAACTTGAACTGTTATGAACCCCCAAGAATCAGAAATATCACAGGTTTTTCGGTCGACCACGTTAACATGAATGACGCCATTTTAACAAAATTTGTTTATCGATGTCAGCATGTAGGCACGCTAAGTTATTTCCCTATTAAAACTAGAAAATGAACATATTTCCCGATATTAATCTTTACATTGTAGGAACTGGATGTTTATGAGTTGGTAAGCTGGTTTTGATGCGCATCGCTGTTAAAAAAATCCAAATTTCATAGTGATAATTTTGTTTACATGTTTGTTTATGTTGTGGTTGCCCGAATTTGAAATCAAAGTCATACAATGAGGTATCGCGTTGCATGACGGTAAATTTTTCGATTTTAATGAATATTTTGACGGTATTGTAATCTGACTGACTTCCTGACTCCCTCGGCCTGGGTGTGAACGGTTTGTTTACCCGCACTGCGGTTCGAGACAAAAGAACGCTAGTCATTTCTAGACCGGGGATAGAGGGACTGTGATCACACATACTCTTATTTTTCTTTGAAACTAAATTTAAATCAACTGCCGTAACTGATCAAAAGATGGTTTTTTTAATCACATAAATAAATTGTACACTTTTAATTTTCATTCATCTCAAGTTCAATGGTGTCCCAAACCATAGAAGGTAATCATGCCCAAACCTAGTTGTTAATTATAGATTATAAATGATAAATAGGTGTACATGTACATTAAATTACCAACATTTTTCAGTTGTGTAATTTCTATTATGTTTATGTTCTTTACCATACAAAAACCCTCTAAAGTTTTCATTATTATTTTGAACAAGAATAAGGTCCTGTACCGGGACACCCCGGTCGTTCCATCCCATATGCGTCCATGTATTGACCAACAGCAACCAACAACGAATAGATCGTCAGGCCCCTGTAGCCCAAATCACGGGAAACTTAATTTGTACTGTTGAGATACTGTAATGCCTTTACCTTTGCTAACACCTCTCGTCGTTGCTTGGAACGTTCCCTTATTGCTTTCCATCCGTCTGCCATAGTTTATGCAATAATAATATACTACCGATGTTACGATGGAGTCGTCGTTTTCTTCAAATGCGGTAAAATCCAACCAAATGTGATCGTAAACACAGCTGATCAAAGCATGTTTTTTTTTCTCTCACAAAATGGCGTCGTTTGGCTTGCTTCTGTTTTTACTGCTTGGTGGCGTGCTCCTCTAAACTGTGATGTCAATGCGATCAAAAGCGGGGCGGGTGGGTCGACTTTGTTTTGATAGTTTGGAAAGTTTGTATCTTTGAGGCAACGCGATGAAATTCAGTACTCAAGTATTTGAAGTTACCCCCGGAACTAGATAGGAAGGTGTTGTTTCAAAACAAGTGTTTACATGTAAATATTTTTCAAAAGGGCTAGAAAAATTTTATTTTGCATAATTTGTCATTTTCATCTTTTGCTAAGAAATTATCATACATGTTTTTCGATTTCAATGGATAAATTGTTTTTGTTGTTGAAAAAATCAATTGTTTCAATTTATTATAAATGTTATTCCTACGTGATGTTTATTAATTTGTTGACAAGTTATAAGATTAGTTTGATATTTTTACAAATCAGTTGCTGTTAAGATAGAAGCCTAGTCATAATTTTTGACAAAATTGGTCATAAATCGCATAATAATGTTCATTAGTTTAATATTTACAATTATGAAACTATTATCTCATGATACAATGAAATAGCATTGTTTTGTGTGTTACAGTTTTGCTTTTTGAAAAACGCGTCATAATATTTCTTGAAAATTGACATTTTTAGAACAATTCCATAGAACACAATGTTTAAGAAAAATTGCATTTCTTACACTTTTTAAAACCCAGATATTTTAAATAATTCAGAACAACAAAAGGTACTATATCATTAACAATATATGTCACCAGGCTAGATTTTGAGATATTGCATAATATTTCTGCCATAGGAACTTACGGTGAAAGTGTTGTGATAGTGTCAAAATGGCGACTTTCCACTAAAATAAAATCATCAATTTCTGGAAAAAAAGGCTGGTGACCCCCAACTTGTTTTAAGTCAATATCCTTATATTGGCTTGAAGTACAATTTATTGCAAAATGAATAAATTCTGGGTTTTTTAATTTATGAGTAGGCTTCTACCTTAAGGTGATCATGATTTCAAATTCTCAGAATTTATTCATTTTCCAGTAAATCGTACTTCCGAGCAATATAAGAATATTGACTTAAAAAAGTTAAAAATTACGCTGTCATCTGCATAAAAAGACAGTTAGCGTAAGAGTTTATTTATAATTTGTTATCTGGGTATTACTTTTTCGAATAATGGTCGCTGGTTTAGATCCCAAAAAGTGATTGCCGAGCAGGCGAGTAAAGCAATATTTCCTTTAAAAAAGATACTAGCAAAATACAGTGATATTGATGTACAAATGTATTTAAAGATTTTTGACTGTAAAATTTTACCAATATTGATGTATGGCAGTGAAGTTTGGGGTTTTGACAAAGGGGTAAATATTGAGGAAACACATCGCAAGTTTTGTTAATTTATTTTAAATTTGCTTACAACCACAGCAAATCCTGTAATTTATGGAGAATTAGGCAGACTACCACTAATCCATTTGCGTTACATACGTATTATTAAATTTTGGTTGAACATTTTAAAAATGCAAACACAGCGTTATGTTTACCAATGTTACCTTTTCCAGTATAAAGAAGCGGAAAACAACCGTAAATGTTGGGCTTTCCAAGTCAAAGAACTACTATTTTCGCACGGTTTTGGTTTTGTTTGGTTAAACTTTGGTTAAACCAAGGCGTGGAAGATAACTGTTCCTTTTTGTCTGTATTCACCCAAAGAGTTCATGATATGTACAAACAAACTTGGTTACAGATCTCAACAATTATCTAAACTCGATAAATACAGAGATTTTAAGATCGATTTTGGATGTGAAAAATATTTGCATTTAATTAAAGACAACAAGTTACGTTCTGCGCTATGTCAGCTTAAAACATCATCCCACAACCTTCGGGTTGAATCTGATCGTAAACTAAACATACCGAGGAATATGAGAATCTGTAAATTATGTAATTTAGGGTTAGTTGAGGATGAATACCATTTTTGCCTTGTATGTCCACGTTATGTAAATCTTAGAAAAAAATATTTACCTATATTTTATCTGTCAAATCAGACTTACGAAAAATTTCTTAGTTTAATGCAGTTTGACAACTTATCTGTACTTCAAATTTCAAAATTTGTATTCTACGCTTCTAAACACAGAGTCAATCTACTTAACCAGTTGTGACTAGTAGATTCAACAATTATTTAAAGGAATCCCTCTGTATGTATTTTTCTATTTTTTTGATTTATTGTACCATAGGCCTGAGGCCATTGTGCTGAATAAAATTCATATTCATTTATAATGGAGGATCAGATTTTTTTGAGTTTAAAATATCTGGGAGGTCGTTAACATAAAGGTTTAAGAGACTGGGTTTTAAAGTTTTTAATCATTTTATACATGTTAGCAGACACCTTAATTCAAGCAATTTAAAATATAGAACATCGTGACATTTACTGCCAATAAAGCAAGCATGTATTTTATTCGCTTGTGTTTTCTTTTATGAATTATTGTGATAAAGATATCTAATATCATTGTTTTAACAGTGAACAAGTTATTGGATGTTTGACTGTTTGTTTTAAAACCAAACTGTTCAGATAGATTATTATATTCTTCAAGGACAGCTATAATTGGAGGAACTTGTTTTGGACCCAGATATATGTAATGACTGTGTTCATTGACTAATTATTGGTATCGCTAAAACATTGGTTATTGACATCATTGACCCTATCATGCAGTATGCCAATAAAATCACCAAGCAAAATTACCACACCGTTTAGAATAAAATTTAGTAATGTCATTTTGCAGTTGTTGAAAATATCATAATTACCAGTTTCCAGTCCAGACATAGATAAACCCGATGTAAATATCACACTATCAGTAACACCATCTCAGACGGTTTGATTTTAAAATTGTTCGTTGAATTATGAAAGCTGTTATTATATAATTCGTCGATGTTTCAAGTACCATTTTCATCAATGGTGACACAACCATTGTATCTAAAAAAAGTTTAACAAGTAGAAGACTAACTAACTCACCTACTGCTTAACTGACTGAGATACAATACCGAACTCACAATCTGCTCAACTACAAAGAATAACATTTAAACACTGACTCACAAATTGTCTTCATAAATTGAAGTTAAAAGAGTAGACCCAAAACAACATAATGCTCCAGACGAAGAAGCATCACTATATGAGTATTTACAATTTTTTTTATATCATATTTCATTCTCTATTATTCAACTTTTTATCAGTATTATTTAGTCCACCATCTTGATTCACTTGCAAAGAATTGTGGGTAAAACATTACATCATAGCCACTGTCTATAACTGAAGAAATACTGATACGAATTAGTTTCAATTTTCAGTTTTTTTTTTTTTTTTTTAAATTATTTTTTGTGCCAGGCGACAGTTCCGGACATTGAGTGTCACTGTTGTCTCTCCTGACTTTTTTTTTGTATGTGCAAATTGCAAGTGCTAGTGACGACACATAGTGCATTTTGCCACAGAAGTCATATTCATGTTTGGGACTACATGACAGGGCTGTGTGGCCATCTCTCTGTCAAATGGCAATTTGTAATGCGCTATCCTGGCGTCAACCAGGCCCGGTCGAACACAAGCACCTGCGGACCTTAACCAAGGTTCCCCCAAAGTCGCATTCGTTAGTGAATGAATCTCGGCCAGTGGAATTGGCCTTCCCATTGAGTCTGTGGCACACTCACCCAGGGTAGGGGTCGACCTTTTTGACGTTCAGCCTATGGCAGGATTTGAACTTGGGTCTACCGATCATGAGTCTGATGCAATAACCACTATGCTACCAGTGACCGATAATTATCAAGCATACTTTGTTTTCAATGATCTATGAAGACGAATGTTTCTATATTTGCTGTCTGGTGACGTCATTCTTGAAACTCGCTTGTACAATTCTAAATCTATCTCAAACAATTAATTACCCAACAAATAGTTTTGCTCATTTTAATTCTGTCAGTTTAGACAATATCAACCTGAATTGTCCACTCTTTGAAGGTACATTGATCAGATTCAATGATAAGACAACTTGTGTACGAAGTATTTTTACGAAGTATTCTTAGAGGAACATTTAACTCACAAAATCATACAGCCCCCCTCCCCCCAAATGGTATTCATTTATTGAAATGTACAGTTTTTGAAACGTACGGCTTTGATATATTTGGGAAATCTTTGCATTTAAAATTCATCAATTTAACTAACTTGAAATACAATTTCAAATAGAAATTTCATTCAGGAAATATTTGATAATGAATCTAAATTAGTACAGATGCATATCAAATTGTGTAAACGAAGTTTTCATAGACAAGAAAGCAACACAGATTCCATGGCAGACCTTGGCAGTTATGTCATTATTCATGTAGGTATAGAAATGTTGAAACCTATCTCAAAATACTTCTACATTATATTCATAAACAAGAAACAGCAGTTTTCATTGCCCTCAGACTTTCTTTCAATGACGAAGGACATAAATATTACAACTATATTTTTCGAATAATGAGAAATCTAATCTAATCGGTAATCACAAAAATAACTGACATCCACATGTGTATTGCTGAAGTAACAATGAAAATCAACTAAAGCGAGGCATGTGTACGTTGAGAAGAATGATATTTAATGCGTTGTCTCCACAAATCGGGATAATAACCAAAGTTACTACTATAGTAAAAACAATAATTTTAAGGTAGAAGCCAACTCATGATTTTTAAAAAATACACAGAATTTATTTGGGTTTATAAAAAGTGGCAAAAAGGCTATTTTTCTTTAACATTGTGCTCTATGGAATTGTTCTAAAAATAACGATTTCTGAAAAATATTAGAAAAAAATTCTCAAAATATGTCACTGTAACTAACATACAAAAGATTGCTATTTCATAGTAACCATGTCACACAGTAAACCAATAAACATTGTCATGCGATTTATAAACAACTTTCTCAAACATTATGGGTAGGATTCTATCATAATGCACATTTTACACAGAAATGATCGTTTCCCCCACAAAACACTCTAGGCATATCATACTGAATGATTTGAAGTTTTAAAAATTAAAACAAGTTTCGTTGTTAGTAGTCTCAATGGCGGGAATATTTGGATAATTTAATGACTATGTCCCAAAATGAAAATTACTATTTACAATTACAAATTGGGCTTACCTAGATCGTGACCAAAATGTGCAAGAATCAAGCCAGCACTACACGTCAAGCAGTTATGACGAATACGTCAAAACGGCCATGTTTGTTTTGAAGTCACAGAAGTACTACATTTGGTACATTGCGTACAATGTAACGAATGGTATATGTAATATTTGCATTAGCCTTCAAATGTTTGTCTCTAAAAGTTGTGGAAACATGTGATGAAATATATATACTAGCACGAAATCCATGATTCCAATTTATCATTCATATCATTTTAAAATCATTTATCATCCATATCATTTTAAAATCATTTAAAAAAAAAACCAAATAACCAAGAATAACACACGGTAACAGATCTACATAACATGTTGTTTTTGTAGCAGTCGCGTTCAATCCGGAATAATGGCTTGTAATTATTCGATCTCACATTAGACGTATGTTAACTGTGGTTTGTTCATGGGATAGGTTCAAACCCGCCGATTGCAAACATATTTAATGGCAACTTTATAAGTGCTTTTAAGTCTGAGTAAAGCCATGAACGGTCACACACAGGTGAGGTATTGCTAAACAAACGTGCCATATGACGGCCTTCGAGTAACGTACGTTTGTGAAGTAATAAAGTCGGCCCACGCATGTTAACCACTGAAAGTTGATGTAACGCGAAAACCATGCACAAACCGACCACCACCCCAACTATAACGGAGACGAATGCTGCAAAACGTGTCTTTTTAGCTAGCATGTTATTTTTTAGCCAATCTGTAATCTCTAATTGAAAATGTAGCTAATTTAACAGAAAGTATACATCACAATCAATCTGATTAAAATCTGATG